GGACCCCTCTTCCGAAGACGAAAACCCTAAGGAGTAAGTCACGCAGGAACCCTAATGAAAAAAGGCCCAACCCCTAAGAGGGGAAAACCCAGAACCAAACCCTAAACGAGTAAACCCAGAACGAAACCCTAATGAAAGAAGGCCCAACCCCTAAGAAGAGTAATCGGCCCAACCCCTAAGAGGAGTAAACCCAGAACGAAACCCTAAAAAGAGTAAACCCAGAACGTAAGAGGAGTAAACCCAGAACGAACCCTAAAGGAGTAAACCCGGAACGAAACCCTAAAAAGAGTAAACCCAGAACGAAACCTTTATGAAAGAAGGCCCAACCCCTAAGAGGAGTAAACCCAGAACGAAACCCCAAAAGGAGTAAACCCAGAACGAAACCCTAGATTTTGAAAGGAGTAAACCCAGAACAAAACCCTAATGAAAGAAAGCCCAACCCCTTAAGAGGAGTAAACCCAGAACGAAACTTTGAAAGAGTAAACTAAAAGGAGTGAACCCAGAACGAAACCCTAATGAAAGAAGGCCCAACCCCTAAGAGGGGTAAACCCAGAACGAAACCCTAAAAGAGTAAACCCAGAACGAAACCCTAATGAAAGAAGGCCCAGCCCCTAAGAGGAGTAATCGGCCCAACCCCTAAGAGGAGTAAACCCAGAACGAAACCCTAAAAAGAGTAAACCCAAAGGAGTGAACCCAGAACGAAACCCTAATGAAAGAAGGCTCAACCCCTAAGAGGGGTAAACCCAGAACGAAACCCTAAAAGAGTAAACCCAGAACGAAACCCTAATGAAAGAAGGCCCAACCCCTAAGAGGAGTAATCGGCCCAACCCCTAAGAGGAGTAAACCCAGAACGAAACCCTAAAAAGAGTAAACCCAGAACGTAAGAGGAGTAAACCCAGAACGAAGCCCTAAAGGAGTAAACCCAGAACGAAACCCTAAAAGGAGTAGACGAAAACCCTATGTGTCTAACCTGTCCGGGCTTGTCCTGGCTTGTCCGTTGTCGGGGCTTGTCCGGGCTTGTCCAGCTGTCCGGGCCCTTGTCCGGGCTGTCCCGGCTTGTCCGGGCTTGTCCGGGCTGTCCGGGCTGTCCGGGCTGTCCCGGACAAGCCTAATGAAAGAAAGCCCAACCCCTTAAGAGGAGTAATCCCAGAACGAAACTTTAAAAGAGTAAACTAAAAGGAGTGAACCCAGAACGAAACCCTAATGAAAGAAGGCCCAACCCCTAAGAGGGGAAAACCCAGAACGAAACCCTACAAGAGTAAACCCAGAACGAAACCCTAATGAAAGAAGGCCCAGCCCCTAAGAGGAGTAATCGGCCCAACCCCTAAGAGGAGTAAACCCCGAACGAAACCCTAAAAAGAGTAAACCCAAAGGAGTGAACCCAGAACGAAACCCTAATGAAAGAAGGCTCAACCCCTAAGAGGGGTAAACCCAGAACGAAACCCTAAAAGAGGAAACCCAGAACGAAACCCTAATGAAAGAAGGCCCAACCCCTAAGAGGAGTAATCGGCCCAACCCCTAAGAGGAGTAAACCCAGAACGAAACCCTAAAAAGAGTAAACCCAGAACGTAAGAGGAGTAAACCCAGAACGAAGCCCTAAAGGAGTAAACCCAGAACGAAACCCTAAGAGGAGTAGACGCAAACCCTATGTGTCTAACCTGTCCGGGCTTGTCCTGGCTTGTCCGTTGTCGGGGCTTGTCCGGGCTTGTCCGGCTGTCCGGGCCCTTGTCCGGGCTGTCCCGGCTTGTCCGTTGTCCGTGCTTGTCCGGGCTTGTGTGGCTGTCCGGGCTGTCCGGGCTGTCCCGGCTTGTCCGGGCTTGTCCGGGCTTGTCCGGCTGTCCGGGCCCTTGTCCGGGCTGTCCGGGCTTGTCCGGCTGTCCGGGCCCTTGTCCGGGCCCTTGTCCGGGCTGTCCGGGGTGTCCCGGCTTGTCCGGGCTTGTCCGGCTTGTCCGGGCTTGTCCGGGCTTGTCCGGGCTTGTCTCGGCTTGTCCGGGCTTGTGCGGGCTTGTGCGGGCTTGTCCGGGCTGTCCGGGCTTGTCCGGGCTTGTCCGACTGTTTTAGGGGTCGGCGCGGAGCCCATACCCGGCCCCGGGGCGGGGGGGGGGCACAGATGATGGATTCGGGGGGGGCGCAAGTGATTGGGGGCCCCTACTCGAACATCGCGGATGGTCCGTCGAGGCTGCTGTTCGTGAGGTTGCAAAGCTTCCACAGGTCACGGCCTTCGTTTGCGACTTTCTTTCTTAGAAGGGGTGACTTGTACATGTCACGCTTCATTACAGAGAACACATACATCTTCTCTGAGGGATGATCACTTTACGCTACTTTGTGGAATTTTTCTTTCGAGAACTTAATGAAGTGTGTTTCGTACGTTTGAAGTTACTTTCGATTCAGGTTACAATGGTTGCAACAACAGTTTGTTGTTGAACATTTTGTCAATTCCGTGCTAGCTTGTGTCCCACTCAACCCGCCCTGGTGAGTTTCATTTCAGCCTATCCATGAACCGTTTGATTGCAGGAACTCTTGGCAATCCCCTCTGGAAAAACGAACTGCGCCTAGGATTGGAATCTTTTCTTACGTAGTCGTTTGGAAAGATGTTTTGATTCAGTCTATTTTTGTTCGTGGGAATCTCACAATCACAATGATTGCACATACCACATTCCACAACAGAGAATAAGTGGCCTTGTCCGCGTCAAGCCAGCGCAACGAACCAGTCTAGCATGTCAAACACGCAAACTGCGAGGCGAGAAGTCCAAACTGCTAGTAGCTTGCCGACAAGTGTTTTCGTCCGTGCTGGCCCGAGCTCAAGCCCGTTTCACCAACCCAAGGATGCCAATCCTGCACAATGTCAGATCGACCGTCGGTTCCAGGAGTCTGAGAGTTCCAAGCGATGCCGAGGGATTGCCGCTGGTCGCAGACCGTGATATCCTTCGTGGGATACCCTTAGCTACAGTGCTTGCAGCAGCGGCACGGATCCTGGACACGGACGAAGAAGTCAACTTCGACGAATATTACCAGCAAACATCTCCGATGCAACGCTTAGATGCATTTCTTTCTCATGCATGGAGCGATCATCGTTTTTCGAAATGGGCAGCGCTTTGTCTCCACTTTAACTTGAAGTTGGCGTGTTTCCTCAGCCTCGGGGTGGCCGTTCTCAGTTTCATTTTCCAATACTACAGCATCGGGTATCTTCCAGCCTACAGCTTCACGGACGTGACTGGAGCTGAGAATACCAATGGTATTTGCTGCCTCATCACTGGTTGTGTTGCCCTGTGCTTGGGTTTTTTATTTGGGCACAGGCTTCAGGGGCCAGTCCACGTGTTTTTGGATCGGGCTTGCATTTCACAGACGGACAAGAACAAGATGCAGCTCGGCGTAGATGCACTTGGTGATTTTCTTGCAATGTCCGAGCGCATGATCGTTCTACTTTCGCCGGACTACTTTAAACGTGGTTGGTGTACTTTTGAGGTGTCGTCCTTCGGTGCAGACGATTCAAAAGGCTTCAGAAAGATAGACTTCGAGCCGCTTCATAAAGCAAGCGCAATCCTTTCGGTATTTGCAGCAAGCATCTTGGCTGCCATTTCCTTTCATGTTTGCATCTACTTCGGGATCATGGACTTTGCGATGAAGCTGGCACCCGAACCTTCTATCACTGGGTTCTCAGCATTTGGCCTCTTCGTGTTCTGTGCTCCCCCTGGACTGGTCTACGGGGCGGGCATCCTGCAGCTGGATCGGATTCTGTCTGGGAATGTTGAGATGCTTGCGGTCCTCAAGATGTTTGACATAGAGCAGGCCAGTTTCATGTTTGAGGATGACAGGGCTTTCGTGCTCTGCGAAGCCAGACGGCTTTGGGGAGATCTGGACACCTTTAACAGAAGAGTGAAGGAGGAGGTGTACAGTCAGATTTCTGCCTGGGCCTCTAAGCGGAGAGCTGCCGTGCCATATTCGACACTCGTTTTGGGAGCTTCTCCCTGCCTGTTTTGGGGTCTAGACATGGCTGCCAAAGATCCCACCTTGGATCTGAAACTGCGTGATGTGGTCTATGGGATGACGTTGACATTCTTGCATGTCCCCCTCCTCTTTGCCGTGATGGGCTTCATGTGCGAAATTCGCTTTGCGATCTGCCGGCGAATTCATGGCGATTCAATCAGTGCGGTGTCGAAGCTCGTGCTGTTGTTGCTAGCCTTGATCCTCGGGCCTCTGGCATCGATGTTAACAACCGGCATCATGCTGGCAGCGTCTTGGCAACTGATCGGCTGGCTTGTTGCAGCCATGGTCGCAGCCAATTCCTTGGTATGGTTCTCAAGTTCCATGCCAGGTGACCCGGGGTTGGCAGCATCCTACTTCTCGGTCTGACGGGAGAAACCGCAGGCCAGTTGCCGGCGTTTCTAAGCCTGAAAATACACGATGGTGATCAAAGAGCATGCCGCATCTGTGACGCTCCAGTGGAAGTTTGTCAAGTCTGGATCCTTCTTGTCTTGTCTGGGAGTTAAGTGACAAGGAACATTCTGACCAAAGTTCCCACCTCCCAATCCGTTGCTTGTGCTATGAACTGTCATGCAAAGTTCTGCTGGGGATTCGATTCAGTAGCGTGCTGGGCAGAAGTAGTCATGTAGTCGGATCAGCTTTTCGTGCCCGGAGCTAGCTAGCGCTTTAATTACCCGAGGTGGAGGCACACGGCATAACCGCTACGCCACGCCTGGAGTCAACTGTTCATAAACTGCACCCCTTGTACTTTCAGGCTTGCGTTTCCAAAGATAAATGACCAGACGGAAGCGTGTGTGAGTTCGTAAAGCAAGATACTCTGAGAGGGAACGCTGTTGGCACGTTTCAGAACTTGCTGAAGTGCAGTAGTGACCGCGGCCACCACAAAGCAAGCTCTGTTCAGTGATTCCCTCCCTCAATCCTTCCACCCCCGCTCCCGCGTCTCTGCTGCAGCGATTTCGGACTCCCGAGTCAGCCCCCTCCGAAATCGCGGCCCTTATCCCTGCTACGTCGCCAGCATGGGATTGGACTCCATCGACGAGTCGAAGGCGGGATAAGATATGGAGGTTAGGGGCCTGCAGGGCAAGCTCTCGGCAAAGTGCAAGCCTCGAATATCCAGAGACGCCCCGTCAAGCATGGCGTATGCTTGCGGCAGGTGACAGTCTACGGCGCTTGCTTCTGCGCCCCGGTTCCAGTTAAACTGGTACAACAGGATCAGGCTTGCGTTCGATCAGTCTTGCCAGCGACCCCCGATGAGCCCATCACCTGATGCCATGGCCGTGCTGCCGCAAGCTTGATCTCAGCTGTCAGTATCACGGGTTTGTGCGGACTACTTCTGAGACTGACTAGGGCCTTTGCCGAGAAATTGGAAGCAAGATAAGCGAGTGACTCCGTGTCAACCCTTCGCGGCTGATGCGTGCTTTGTGTGTCTTGTGGTTTAAACAGTTGAACTTCAAGGCTGCTTTAACGGCCTGAACTTGGAAAACGTCGAGATCGGGTGTGCTGCCAAGGACGCCGGGGATGTTAATCGATGAACTGGGGTTGTCTTCGGTCTGTTTTTGATCCTTCATTCAGATTCTGTGTGGTGCACTTTGCGCACCCTGCAGCGAGTCGGAGAGGTTGCAGGCTTTGCAGACCTACCGTCCCAAGCATCTGCGACATTACGGGTCCGAAGCCTGCTGCGTGGAGGAGACGCTTCTTTGCCTGGAGTGGGACTTCTGCCTCAAGTCCGGCACAGAGAAGCCCCGCGGCCATTGGATAAAATCCTCACCTCTCCCTGTGCTCCCAGAGTCGGTTTCAGAGGCAGCCTGTCGACAGCCCACGAAGTGGTCCCAGGCACAAATGACCCCAACGGTGCGCACCTAGCCTCCTTGGTGTGCTGAGGTGAGGAACGCGTCCTATCTGAAGCGTTTGTTGTGCGGCCTGAGGCTTCGCTGCTTCTGCTTGGACATTCGCATCGTGCCCGTCACCGTCTGCATCAAGCAGCACCTCCGGCCGCACTATGTCAAGCTCCGAAGTCCAGCGATGGTCAATCTTTCCTCCATCGTCCTTCATCGGCTGAAGCTGCATTATGCTGCAGCTGCACTCCTGACAAAACGCGTGGACCAAGGCAGGGCCAAATGTGCTGCCTGGTCTCTGCTGCCGCCATTCCACCCGATGCCGAGGCCGCTGACGGGATGAGGGATGCATGCGCTGGCAGTCTGTAACGTAGAAGTGGGCAGAAAGTTCCTGCGAGCGCCCTGTGCAGGTGCCCATGATGCTGTCAGTCTGCTTCCTGGTCTGCTTCCCCAAGGTAGGGGCAGTGGGACACTGGGACCAGGGCAACGCGGGTGGTTTTCGGCGATGGGCTCCTTCCCTAAGCATGTGTCACCGAACGCACGCCACATCACACCACTGTCACCACCGTCCGCTTCTGTGCTCGCCCAGTTCGGCTTCTTCAAGAAGATCTCTGAGATCAAGGGATAGGGGCCTGATATGGCCTGATTTAAGGTTTAGTGCACTACGTCTTGAGCAGATTCCTTCCGGAAACTGCCAGCGCATTTTGACTTGTGCCCCGGGTGGCGAGATCGAAGTATCTCGTGACGCTGGCTTGCAAGAGATCGTTTGTGAAGGGCTGCAGTAGAGATGCCATGGGTCGCAAGGTCGCCGGTCAGCGTAAACACTCGCGTGCATGGTTGGTGCTTGCCAGTAGATCTGCCGAACCTGCGGCAGATCGAGCGGACTGGCTCGGGTGATAGGTTTAAATCCTAAGTTCATTGATTCATAGATACGGATGAGATGACTGTTACTGGGCATTTGATTTTGAAAATCGTTCCCGCAGAGGAAGTTTCCGAGCTGAAACTGGCTTGCTTCTGTGTCCAAGCCAGCGTACTGTCAGTGTCTGTAGTTTGCCAGATGCAGCGGGCTGCCGCCGATGGGGAGGAAGCCGAGCTGAGAACAAAAAGTAATGTGGCTAAGCCGGAACAATTGAAGAACTCAATGCTCTTGTCAGTGGTAGCAGGTAGCAGAAGCGCTTGTGAGCTGGCCAGGATAACCAAACAGGAAGTTGCTGCGAAAAAGCTATGAAGTATGAAGAGACGATGTGACGAGAAACATGGTTAGTTGAGATATTGATTTTCTCTTCGCTCGATCTCTGTCTATCTCTCTGTTTGTCTCTATGTCTGTCAGTCTGTTGGTCGGGCGGCCTGTCTGTGTGTCCATGTCTGCGTCTGTCTCTGTCTCTCCCTATGTCTCCCCCTCTCTCCTTCCCTCCCTCCCTCCCCTCCTCCCGCTCTCCCTCCCTCCCTCCACTCGGTGGGTGGGTGCCGCAGCGATTTCGGACTCCCGAGTCAGCCCACTCCGAAGTCGCGGACCTTATCCCTGCTACCACGCCAACATGGGATTGGACTCCATCGACGAGTCGAAGGCGGGAAAGGTACGGAGTTTTTGGATCTGTATAGAAAGCTAGAAGGCACCCGACAAGCTTAAAGCGTCACGTTATTGTGGGACCTCCCCCCCTGCATCCTGCGTATGCTTCCGACTCAAAGACGCCTCATGTTTTCCCGGTCTTCGCTTGCGGCAGGTGACTGTGTACGGCGCTTGCTTCTGCGCCTTGCTTCCACTCCAATTGTGCTAAGAGTCGTAAAAAAGACAGACGGACCTCGATGCTATGACGATCGAGCAGCTTATTCTGTATCTTCTGAATTATATTCTACATTGAATTCCGAGATTTCGTTCAGCTGCCCCAGAAATTTAGAGAGAAGATGTGGGAACTAAGATGCACTACGGCGAGAGCGAGTTACAGGCTGTCAACCATGAGCGGCTGATGCATGATTCATGCATCCATTGGGTTGAAGTGATCAAGGCTGCTTTAACGGCCTGAACTTGGAAAACGTCGAGATCGGGTGTGCTGCCAAGGACGCCGGGGGTGTTAATCGATGATCTGCGGTAGACTTCGGCGTTGTTTAGCCCCTTCATTCAGATTCTGGGTGGTGCATCTTGCGTACCCTGCAGCCTGCAGCGAGTCGGAGAGGTTGCAGGCTTTGCAGACCTACCGTCCCATGGATGATCGAAGCATTTGCGACATTACGGGTCCGAAGCCTGCTGCGTGGAGGAGACGCTTCTCTGCCTGGAGTGGGACTTCTGCCTCAAGTCCGGCACAGAGAAGCCCCGCGGCCATTGGATGAAATCCTCATATTTTCTGTGCTCCCAGAGTCGGGTTCAGAGGCAGCCTGTCGACAGCCCACGAAGTGGTCCCAGGCACAAATGACCCCAACGGTGCGCACCTAGCCTCCTTGGTGTGCTGAGGTGAGGAACGCGTCCTATCTGAAGCGTTTGTTGTGCGGCCTGAGGCTTCGCTGCTTCTGCTTGGACATTCGCATCGTGCCCGTCACCGTCTGCATCAAGCAGCACCTCCGGCCGCACTATGTCAAGCTCCGAAGTCCAGCGATGGTCAATCTTTCCTCCATCGTCCTTCATCGGCTGAAGCTGCATTATGCTGCAGCTGCACTCCTGACAAACGCGTTGACCAAGGCAGGGCCAAATGTGCTGCCTGGTCTCTGCTGCCGCCATTCCACCCGATGCCGAGGCCGCTGAAGGGATGAGGGATGCATGCGCCGCTGGCAGTCTGTAACGTAGAAGTGGGCAGAAAGTTCCTGCGAGCGCCCTGTGCAGGTGCCCATGATGCTGTCAGTCTGCTTCCTGGTCTGCTTCCCCAAGGTAGGGGCAGTGGGACACTGGGACCAGGGCAACGCGAGTGGTTTTCAGCTTGGTTGCCTGAGGCTCTCAGGGTTCGCGTGTTTCGGGCCGATCGGTATGTAGCGATGGGCTCCTTCTGCGAGCATGTGTCACCGAATGCACGCCACATCACACTACTGTCACCACCGTCTGCGTCTGTGCTGGCCCAGTTCGGCTTCTTCAAGAAGATCTCTGAGATCAAGGGATAAGGGCCTAAGAGCCAGTTTAAAGCACTACGGCACGTCCTGAGTGGATTCCTTCCGGAATCCGCCAACGGATTTTGATTTCCGGGCTGGGTGGCGAGATCGAAGTATCTCGCGACGCTGGCTCTTGGAAGAGATGGTTTGTGATTCGCTATACTGGAAGATGGCAGGCAGTGTGACTGATTTTCAGAGCCAGTGTAAATGCCCGGGGTTTGATGTTCGCTTTTCGATCTTTCGAATGCGAGGGGATTTCGAGCAAGCTGTATCCGGTGATGGGGATTTCAATGAATTCTAAGGCCCAGGTGCAGGATCGCGACGGAAGTGACGTCAGTCGTTGTATCCTGCCGTAGGTGTTTACGCTCATATTGTGCATTGGTCATGTGTAAGTACTGCAGAGAGTGCTCGAGATTGTTCGAGAGGATGTTCATGCTCGCCCCCCACAAGAGATACTTTGAGAAAGCACTGACGACGGACCTAGAAGTTTGCTTCTGTGTCCAAGCTAGAGTATATTGCCACCATCTGTGATTTGTAAGCAGATGTCGACGCCTGGAGAGAAGCTGAGACCAAAACGCGGCCGAGCCGGCAACACCCGCAAGTCCGTCTTGGATAGCTGGGTTCTTGTTACCTAGTAAGGGATTTAAGTTAAGTTACCATAATAAGGAAGCCACACTAGTTACTACAGATGACTATTATGGTAACTCAAAACAAACTCCTTAACAAGAGCTCAGATAGTCTGCGGGAAGGGAAGCTTCTATCAGCTCCTCAAGCTCCGGTGCAAGATTTACCCGCAGACTTCGGAAGTTCTTGGCAACGAGGTGAGTGAATGAAGTGACCACGGCGACAAGAAGCAAGGTCAGTTGAGATGATACTCTATAAATGTGCATACCGTTCATACATGCATATATATATAAGCATATATATATATATGTATGTATATGTATGTGTACCTATATACACACATATGCATGTATGTATATACACACAGCTACCTACATGCATACACCATACATGCGTATATCTATATATATATATATATATACATGTGTACATAGTGCGGTTTTCATTTATGTAGACGTACATGTCTATGTATATGTATATATATATATATACATATGTATACATACTTATACATTTACATATACATATACATATACTGATTATATATATATATATACACACACGCACTTTCTCTCTCTCTCTCTCTCTCTCTCTCTCTCTCTCTTTCATATATATATATATACACATATAGATAGACACACACTGATTGATTCGGCCATGAGCAAGAGTGAAGAAAGAAAGAAAAAGGATAGTATGTTGTATGTTGTTGTCTAATCTGGACACCTCAGGGGGCCTGTCCTCAGACTAATCTTGGCACCACAGGGGGCTGCCATGCAGGTACACAGGCCTGATCAGGTCCCGCTTCCCACTTGCATCCACAGCTTCGTTGAGTGTGGTAGGATGCAAGTGCCACACTCCCCTGCAGATGTGTAGGCGTGACCCTCTGCTCCCATGTGCTAGGGATGTTCACACACACGCAGCTCCACCTTGGGGCGACTGTGTGCAGTCAAATAAAGCCGCGCCAGGGCTCCAAAACCTAAAAGAACCCAAGCTAAACCACAAAACCCTGAGGGCTGCAATGCCCGTTTGCAAAGCTTGTCGACGTGGTCCAGAATGTTGCAATGTTGTGGTAGTCCAGGCTGTCGTGAGGTGTTTCAGTTAGGGTTCAGGACTGTCCTCCAGCTGGACACGCAAGCCCCCAGAAGCGACAGAGGGGAAAGGAAGGCTGATCAGCTGCCCTTGCGAGGGCCCAGATCCAGCGGGGGACTGTTCCTCAGCTGGGCGCGACGGCCCCCAAAAGCAACAGTAATGAGGGTTAAAGGAGAAGACTGCTACCCAGCTACCCTCGAAGAAGTCCAGGGCTAGCAGCTTTTGACCAATGTATTGCACATGTGGTTGTATGTTGTAATTAGGGTGGCGAGATTAGGGTGAGGACACTCCTTCCAGCTGCCAGCAAAGACCCAGGAACGGAGTGACTACTGCCCAGCTACCCGAGCAGGGTCCAAGGCCAGTAGCAGGATTAGGGTATGCCATTCATTCTCCAGCTGTGTAGCAAAAACACCCAGGAGCGGTGGACCATCCTCCAGCTGTGCATAAAAGCACCCAGGAGCAATGGAACGAGAGGTATCACGTGGGCCTCAACTTAAGGTCCGGGGTTAGGGGGAGAGAGAAGAGAAGCGAGATGGCCAATTACTTCCCGGAGGAAGCTGCAGTCCCTTGCATTAGCCGAATGTTATTGCACCTGCCCTCATGTCGGTGGCGTATGCACTTGCGTTCACTGAGAAAAGAAGCGATCGAATAGAGGACAGACTAGCGAGGTAATCCTGTGCGTTAGCAGCCAGTTACTGCACTAGACGCCAGTTACTGCACCTGCACTCATGTCAGACTCACATGCGAGCATCAGAGAGAGAGAGAGGAATAAGTAGCATCGGGAGAACTGAACGAGCTGAACATCCGGTTTATAACCGGTTTCCCACGAAGGGTCACCACGGTGCCTTGACGGAAAGCCGCTGTTCTGGAGTCTCATGACCCACGCTGATCACACTGATTGATTCGGCCAAGAGCAAGAGTGAAGAAAGAAAGAAAGAAAAAGGAGAGTATGTTGTATGTTGTTGTCTAATCTGGACACCACAGGGGGCCTGTCCTCAGACTAATCTTGGCACCACAGGGGGCTGCCATGCAGGTACACAGGACTGATCAGGTCCCGCTTCCCACTTGCATCCACAGCTTCGTTGAGTGTGGTAGGATGCAAGTGCCACACTCCCCTGCAAATGTGTAGGCGTGACCCTCTGCTCCCATGTGCTAGGGATGTTCACACACACACACGCACACACACACTCACTGTCTCACTCTCACTCACTCACTCGCTGTCTCCCTTTGTATCTCTGTCTTGATGTGTGCCTCTTTCCATCTTCCGCAGCGATTTCGGACTCCCGAGTCAGCCCCCTCCGAAATCGCGGCCCTTATCCCTGCTACATCGCCAGCATGGGATTGGACTCCATCGACGAGTCGAAGGCAGGATAAGATATGGAGGTTAGGGGCCTGCAGGGCAAGCTCTCGGCAAAGTGCAAGCTTCGAATACCCAGAGACGCCCCGTCAAGCATGGCGTATGCTTGCGGCAGGTGACAGTCTACGGCGCTTGCTTCTGCGCCCCGGTTCCAATTAAACTGGTACAACAGGATCAGGCTTGCGTTCGATCAGTCTTGCCAGCGACCCCCGATGAGCCCATCACCTGATGCCATGGCCGTGCTGCCGCAAGCTTGATCTCAGCTGTCAGTATCACGGGTTTGTGCGGACTACTTCTGAGACTGACTAGGGCCTTTGCCGAGAAATTGGAAGCAAGATAAGCGAGTGACTCCGTGTCAACCCTTCGCGGCTGATGCGTGCTTTGTGTGTCTTGTGGTTTAAACAGTTGAACTTCAAGGCTGCTTTAACGGCCTGAACTTGGAAAACGTCGAGATCGGGTGTGCTGCCAAGGACGCCGGGGATGTGAATCGATGATCTGGGGTCGTCTTCGGTCTGTTTTTGACTCCTTCATTCAGATTCTGCGTGGTGAACTTTGCGCACCCTGCAGCAAGTCGGAGAGGTTGCAGGCTTTGCAGACCTACCGTCCCAAGCATCTGCGACATTACGGGTCCGAAGCCTGCTGCGTGGAGGAGACGCTTCTCTGCCTGGAGTGGGACTTCTGCCTCAAGTCCGGCACAGAGAAGCCCCGCGGCCATTGGATGAAATCCTCACCTCTCCCTGTGCTCCCAGTGTCGGGTTCAGAGGGAGCCTGTCGACAGCCAATGAAGTGGTCCCAGGCCCTTGTGCACAACTGACCCCAACGGTGCGCACCTAGCCTCCTTGGTGTGCTGAGGTGAGGAACGCGTCCTATCTCAAGCCTCAAGCGTTTGTTGTGCGGCCTGAGGCTTCGCTGCTTCTGCTTGGACATTCGCATCGTGCCCGTCACCGTCTGCATCAAGCAGCACCTCCGGCCGCGCTATGTCAAGCTCCGAAGTCTAGCGATGTCGGGCTGTGCTCCATCGTCCTTCATCGGCTGAAGCTGCACTATGCTGCACTCCTGACAAACGCGTTGACCAAGGCAGGGCCAAATGTGCTGCCTGGTCTCTGCTGCCGCCATTCCACCCGATGCCGAGGCCGCTGAAGGGATGAGGGATGCATGCGCCGCTGGCAGTCTGTAACGTAGAAGTGGGCAGAAAGTTCCTGCGAGCGCCCTGTGCAGGTGCCCATGATGCTGTCAGTCTGCTTCCTGGTCTGCTTCCCCAAGGTAGGGGCAGTGGGACACTGGGACCAGGGCAACGCGAGTGGTTTTCAGCTTGGTTGCCTGAGGCTCTCGGGGTTCGCGTGTTTCGGGCCGATCGGTAGCGATGGGCTCCTTCTGTGAGCATGTGTCACCGAATGCACGCCACATCACACCACTGTCACCACCGTCCGCGTCTGTGCTGGCCCAGTTCGGCTTCTTCAAGAAGATCTCTGAGATCAAGGGATAAGGGCCTAAGAGCCAGTTTAAAGCACTACGCCACGTCCTGAGTGGATTCCTTCCGGAATCCGCAAACGGATTTTGATTTGTGGCCTGGGTAACGAGATCGAAGTATCTCGCGACGCTGGCTCTTGGAAGATATGGTTGTGCTTGGCTTCAGTAGAAGATGGCATGGGCCCCAAGAGAGCGAGAGATGGTGGGAGCCAGTGCACATGCCCGGCGGGGGTTTGGTGTTCGCCGTTCGATCTTCCGAACCTGCGGGATTTCGAGCAAGCTGTATCCGGGATGAGGGATTCAAAAGATTCCGAGTGCTTAGTGCAGGGAACCGACGAAAGTCATGTCCAGCAAGGTCCATCCGCGTGTCACAGTGTGGTACTGATACGGCAGGAGAGTTCGAGAGGGCATTTGCTTGTCCCCTCTCTTTGCACTGAAGACCTGGCAGGTTCTAGTCAAGTCAGAGTCAAGTCTTGCTTGTCAGCATCTGCAAGATGAATGCAGATCTGCATGACCGCTCACCCCCTGAGAGCAAAATGTGGAATGCGGCGAAGCAACAGAACTGCCGAGATCTTCCAGGAGAGTCATCTTTTGGACAGCGTTTCTGTGCGAGACTTCGTGCGTCAGGCATACAGAGCACTGAAGCGCGTGCCCAGGTGACCACCAGGTGACTGTCCCCATTCTCTCTCAATCTCTCTCACTCGGTGGGTGCCGCAGCGATTTCGGACTCCCGAATCAGCCCACTCCGAAGTCGCGGCCCTTATCCCTGCTACCACGCCAACATGGGATTGGACTCCATCGACGAGTCGAAGGCGGGAAAGGTACGGAGTTTTTGGATCTGCATAGAAAGCTGGAAGGCACCCGACAAGCTTAAAGCGTCACGTTCTTGTGGGACCTCCCCCCTGCATCCTGCGTATGCTTCCGGACTCAGAGACGCCTCATGTTTCCCGGTCTTCGCTTGCGGCAGGTGACTGTATACGGCGCTTGCTTCTGCGCCTTGCTTCCACTTCAATCGTGCTAAGAGTCGTAAAGAAGACAGACGGACCTTGATGCTATGACGCTATGACGATCGAGCAGCTTGTTCTGTATCTTCTGAATTATCTTCTATATTGAATTCCGAGATTTCGTTCAGCTGCCCGAGAAATTAGAGAGAAGATGTGGGAACTAAGATGCACTTCGGCGAGAGCGAGTTACAGGCTGTCAACCATGAGCGGCTGATGCATGATTCGTGCATCCATTGGGTTGAAGTGATCAAGGCTGCTTTAACGGCCTGAACTTGGAAAACGTCGAGATCGGGTGTGCTGCCAAGGACGCCGGGGGTGTTAATCGATGATCTGCGGTAGTCTTCGGACATTGTTTAGCCCCTTCACTCAGATTCTGGGTGGTGCATCTTGCGTACCCTGCAGCGAGTCGGAGAGGTTGCAGGCTTTGCAGACCTACCGTCCCAAGCATCTGCGACGTTATGGGTCCGAAGCCTGCTGCGTGGAGGAGACGCTTCTTTGCCTGGAGTGGGACTTCTGCCTCAAGTCCGGCACGGAGAAGCCCCGCGGCCATTGGATGAAATCCTCACCTCTCCCTGTGCTCCCAGTGTCGGGTTCAGAGGGAGCCTGTCGACAGCCAATGAAGTGGTCCCAGGCCCTTGTGCACAACTGACCCCAACGGTGCGCACCTAGCCTCCTTGGTGTGCTGAGGTGAGGAACGCGTCCTATCTCAAGCCTCAAGCGTTTGTTGTGCGGCCTGAGGCTTCGCTGCTTCTGCTTGGACATTCGCATCGTGCCCGTCACCGTCTGCATCAAGCAGCACCTCCGGCCGCGCTATGTCAAGCTCCGAAGTCCAGCGATGGTCAATCTTTCCTCCATCGTCCTTCATCGGCTGAAGCTGCATTATGCTGCAGCTGCACTCCTGACAAACGCGTTGACCAAGGCAGGGCCAAATGTGCTGCCTGGTCTCTGCTGCCGCCATTCCACCCGATGCCGAGGCCGCTGAAGGGATGAGGGATGCATGCGCTGGCAGTCTGTAACGTAGAAGTGGGCAGAAAGTTCCTGCGAGCGCCCTGTGCAGGTGCCCATGATGCTGTCAGTCTGCTTCCTGGTCTGCTTCCCCAAGGTAGGGGCAGTGGGACACTGGGACCAGGGCAACGCGAGTGGTTTTCAGCTTGGTTGCCTGAGGCTCTCGGGGTTCGCGTGTTTCGGGCCGATCGGTAGCGATGGGCTCCTTCTGTGAGCATGTGTCACCGAATGCACGCCACATCACACCACTGTCACCACCGTCCGCGTCTGTGCTGGCCCAGTTCGGCTTCTTCAAGAAGATCTCTGAGATCAAGGGATAAGGGCCTAAGAGCCAGTTTAAAGCACTACGCCACGTCCTGAGTGGATTCCTTCCGGAATCCGCAAACGGATTTTGATTTGTGGCCTGGGTAACGAGATCGAAGTATCTCGCGACGCTGGCTCTTGGAAGATATGGTTGTGCTTGGCTTCAGTAGAAGATGGCATCCCCAAGAGAGCGAGAGATGGTGGGAGCCAGTGCACATGCCCGGCGGGGGTTTGGTGTTCGCCGTTCGATCTTCCGAACCTGCGGGATTTCGAGCAAGCTGTATCCGGGATGAGGGATTCAAAAGATTCCGAGTGCTTAGTGCAGGGAACCGACGAAAGTCATGTCCAGCAAGGTCCATCCGCGTGTCACAGTGTGGTACTGATACGGCAGGAGAGTTCGAGAGGGCATTTGCTTGTCCCCTCTCTTTGCACTGAAGACCTGGCAGGTTCTAGTCAAGTCAGAGTCAAGTCTTGCTTGTCAGCATCTGCAAGATGAATGCAGATCTGCATGACCGCTCACCCGCTGAGAGCAAAATGTGGAATGCGGCGAAGCAACAGAACTGCCTAGATCTTCCAGGAGAGTCATCTTTTGGACAGCGTTTCCGTGCGAGACTTCGTGCGTCACGCATACAGAGCACTGAAGCGCGCGCCCAGGTGACCGCCAGGTGACTGTCCCCATTCTCTCTCAATCTCTCTCACTCGGTGGGTGCCGCAGCGATTTCGGACTCCCGAATCAGCCCACTCCGAAGTCGCGGCCCTTATCCCTGCTACCACGCCAACATGGGATTGGACTCCATCGACGAGTCGAAGGCGGGAAAGGTACGGAGTTTTTGGATCTGCATAGAAAGCTAGAAGGCACCCGACAAGCTTAAAGCGTCACGTTCTTGTGGGACCTCCCCCCCTGCATCCTGCGTATGCTTCCGGACTCAGAGACGCCTCATGTTTTCCCGGTCTTCGCTTGCGGCAGGTGACTGTATACGGCGCTTGCTTCTGCGCCTTGCTTCCACTTCAATCGTGCTAAGAGTCGTAAAGAAGACAGACGGACCTTGATGCTATGACGCTATGACGATCGAGCAGCTTGTTCTGTATCTTCTGAACTATCTTCTATATTGAATTCCGAGATTTCGTTCAGCTGCCCGAGAAATTAGAGAGAAGATGTGGGAACTAAGATGCACTACGGCGAGAGCGAGTTACAGGCTGTCAACCATGAGCGGCTGATGCATGATTCGTGCATCCATTGGGTTGAAGTGATCAAGGCTGCTTTAACGGCCTGAACTTGGAAAACGTCGAGATCGGGTGTGCTGCCAAGGACGCCGGGGATGTTAATCGATGATCTGGGGTCGTCTTCGGTCTGTTTTTGACTCCTTCATTCAGATTCTGGGTCGGAGAGGTTGCAGGCTTTGCAGACCTACCGTCCCATGGATGATCGAAGCATCTGCGACGTTATGGGTCCGAAGCCTGCTGCGTGGAGGAGACGCTTCTTTGCCTGGAGTGGGACTTCTGCCTCAAGTCCGGCACAGAGAAGCCCCGCGGCCATTGGATAAAGTCCTCACCTCTCCCTGTGCTCCCAGAGTCGGGTTCAGAGGCAGCCTGTCGACAGCCCACGAAGTGGTCCCAGGCCCTTGTGCACAACTGACCCCAACGGTGCGCACCTAGCCTCCTTGGTGTGCTGAGGTGAGGAACGCGTCCTATCTCAAGCCTCAAGCGTTTGTTGTGCGGCCTGAGGCTTCGCTGCTTCTGCTTGGACATTCGCATCGTGCCCGTCACCGTCTGCATCAAGCAGCACCTCCGGCCGCACTTTGTCAAGCTCCGAAGTCCAGCGATGGTCAATCTTTCCTCCATCGTCCTTCATCGGCTGAAGCTGCATTATGCTGCAGCTGCACTCCTGACAAACGCGTTGACCAAGGCAGGGCCAAATGTGCTGCCTGGTCTCTGCTGCCGCCATTCCACCCGATGCCGAGGCCGCTGAAGGGATGAGGGATGCATGCGCTGGCAGTCTGTAACGTAGAAGTGGGCCGAAAGTTCCTGCGAGCGCCCTGTGCAGGTACCCATGATGCTGTCAGTCTGCTTCCTGGTCTGCTTCCCCAAGGTAGGGGCAGTGGGACACTGGGACCAGGGCAACGCGAGTGGTTTTCAGCGATGGGCTCCTTCTGTGAGCATGTGTCACCGAATGCACGCCACATCACACCACTGTCACCACCGTCCGCGTCTGTGCTGGCCCAGTTCGGCTTCTTCAAGAAGATCTCTGAGATCAAGGGCTAGGGGCTCGTGGGCCAATTGATGTCACGACACAACGTCCTGTGCGGACTCCTTCCGGAAACCGCAACAGATTTTGACTTGGAACCCGAGTGGGGAGATCGAAGTATCTCTCGACGGTGGCTTGTGAAGGGGTGCTTGCATATCTTCAGAATTAGCTCAACATAGCGAGTCCAATTCATGCATGGTGCAAGTGCACATGATGAGCCATCGTGAAAGCTTGGGTGTGGGCTGGGTGTGCCCTTTTCGATCTTCCAAATCTTTGGGAGGTCGAGCTAGCTGCTGTGTCGGACGACCAGGGTTTGCCAATTTCCCGAGCAGGTTCATACCGAGCTACTGAGAAAGTGTTCGAGAGCATGCTCGTCCGGACAGCCAAGTCTTTGAGCTTGAGCCGAAGACCAAACCTAAAACTTGTCGGAATCTGCAAGATGAATGCGGATGCCGACGGCTGCTCACGACGGGTTGTTCCAAAGAGCTTCTCGTCGACAGGGCGACCCTTGACCGATGGAACCGGTGATAAAAAGACCGGCAGATTCCTGCTGCACACTTGTCTTCAGATCTGGCAGGATTAATTCTTGGCTTAGCCAGGAGTTTCCATGGGTTGGGACTTGTTCGACAAAGAGTCCTAAGCATCCCAACAGGCGTGGCCTCTTATCTTTCTTGTACCAGTATCGGTGAGGCGCAGTCAGTCGAAGTCCTCCAAAAGAATGGCAGAGCATTCTTGAGGATGTTTCTGACATGTTCAGGGACGGTCTCAGCCACAGGAGCCCAACACTCTGGATAAATCCAACTCCTGCAGGTAGTGGATTCATGAATGTAGGTCTTGGTGCAGGGTTGGTCGTGTTGTTGCTAGCACTCAGTGAAGCCTTTCTTGACAAAAGCACGGCACTGCCATGGTCTTTTGCGATGCCGCGACGCTACAGCCTTAGCACGTTGTAGGTAAGCATGGGAATGCACAGCAAGGAACATGAAGACCAGAAGTCAGCGGACACGTCACAGATATTGCTCCTTTTCCAGGCTTCAAGGTACCCTTTTTCGCAGGCGCCTCCTGAGGTTAGAACATCTTCTTCAATTCCACTGCAAGAGGCAAGCTCTTGTGCTACCCGAAGCAAGAGAAGTCCCGAAGCGGAGCCAAGGACCCCCTGAACCCTAGGCCGTAAACCCGGGCCCCGAGCCTCAAAAGGCTTCGAGGCCTTCGAGGTCCTAAGCTTAAACCCTTCTCTCGAGCGCGGACCGGGCGGGCCACTGCGCCGAGAGATGGAGGCGAGCGGCGAAGGTGTTTCGCTTCCTGAGAAATCGTAGTATTAAGAAAAACCCAATAGTAGCCATGACAGTACTTGTGATAGTGATGGTAGTCGTAGTCGTATAATGAGGAGCAGCAGCTGCAGCAGTAGCAGAGTGCCCTCTGCCAGGCCAGGGGCTCCGGCGAAGGGAGCTCTGCGGCGGAAGGCCAGCCGGGACACTGTGACATAACGACATCGTGCGCCGCGTTTTTAGCTGTGCACTGGCAGTTCAGAGTCACGAAGGCTGGCAGTGTGGGGATTGTCGTCCTGGGTCCAGGCGGCCGGCAGCTGCAGCCGAACTTGTCCATGGAGGCCTAACGCCTCAACCCTGAAGGGATCGCAGACGGGGGCCAAAGCCCTAAGTTGCATTTTCAATGTCTGAGAAGCTCTCAGGATCGAGCCTTTCTGGACGAGCGAGGCTCCCAGCCCAGCGCGTTGGAGCTTTGGAAACCCGAGTTTGGCTGACACCCGAGTGTGGTTCCATCCATCCATCGCTCCAGTCTCCCTCTCCGCGATGTGCTTCATATCCCTTTCCACTCCTTCCCTTCCCCTCTGATCGTTTGCAAAGACTGGCTCCATGGGGTCGCTTTCAGATCTTTTCCCCGGCGTCACTTTGTAAGGTTCGGACGCCGGATCTCCATGGCCGTGGGCTCTTCGGCACTTTTGGGCGGCACCGCCTTCTATGCACTTTCCAGGCCGCCCAGAGCGAACCTACTCCGCAAGTAGCAGAGGAGCTAGTGCCACTGCAGCGCCCAGCACAGCACCCCAGAAGGGGCAGAGCCAACTGTTAGCTTCTGTGACATGTGGTCAGATGCTTTGGCGTCTCTGTGGATAGTGACAGGAGGGCTTGTGAGCAGATTGGGGTCTTGTCAGGAGCAGTATTTCTTTTGAAAGGCCAGAAGTCCCTGCCAGATGCGCAAAACACAGGGTGTGACCGGTCCTGCGGCGACTGACCACAGCAGGACAGACCGGTCGATGACTCGGTCGTTGATTGTTGTGGATCTCCCATAAGCCCGAAGCTCTCAGCTCTCCAAGCAGCTCTCCAAGCACTTCAACCCCAAGCTCTGAATCGCCAGCCCGCTACCCCAAACTGAGCCGTGAACCCGAAGACCTAAACCGTGAACCGCAAGCCCGCCACTGAAACTGTAAATCCACGCATCGTCGCCGCTTTCTAGGCAGCTGGGCTTCCGACGACGGGGTCTGTGGACAACGCTCGGTGCCACGTTGCCGGGATGCCTAGCGTCGGGTTAAGGGAATCGTTATTGTAAGGTTTGGTATAACGAAGGTCATCACGGACACTATAGGGCCGACTGAGTTATCATGTGCGCTTTTACAAGGTCACAGAGGCACCGCAAAGAAAGTCGTAGTCGTAGACCCGTGGAGTTTCAGGTTCGAGGTGATCTTTGTGAGTTAGTCACTTGCGAAGCAATCGATCACCCATTAAGAGCGTATCCCTCTTCGCAAGATGCTTTTCGCATGATTGCACACACCTACCTGGAGGGTACATATATCCAAATAATGGCAGTCAGCGAAGGCCTAGACACCTAGTAGCGGAGACGAGTTGAGTAGGTGTTTCTTGCCTGAGACTGACGGGAAACGGAGCATGCGTTCTGCAGATTGTGCAGAGTAGGTGACGGAACTACGCCTCCGTGTTGACTCACATGGAGATGCATTGCTGTGAGCGCAGAACTGCAGACCTGTCTTGGGGAAACTGGTCGCACCCCGCCACAGCGAGCCGAAGGTGTCCGAGTCTCGCGTGGTACGCCGTGGTCTCCGGTGCCAGCGGGCCCAGTCGCGTGAAAGGTGATTGGTGATGCGCTGTGTGTTGCGCCTAGAAGAAGGGCCTTGAAGGGGAAGACGGATATTGGAAGAGAGCCGGAAGATGAGGGATTGCTCGAGGCACAGGCAAGGCAATAATGCAGCTTGAACGAGGGATGCGCCGGTGCCGAGGAGCGTGCCAGAGTAATGGATCTAGGCCGGAAGCTGCAGGCCATGCCCGGAGCGTAGATTCGCTTCTTCGCAGGACAGGTTATAGAAGGCAGCAAGCATCACACAACAACTGGATCATAGGATATCATGGGCACGTGTAGATGCTGCTTTGAGACGACTTGTGCATTGCCGTGGGGTCGAAGTCCAGATGTAAGGTTTAGGTTTAGGGTTTAGAGGAATTCTCTCTCTGTCGCAGTTCGATGTCGCCAGCGACCTCCAGCCAGGAGCCCAAGGACGCAATGGAGTCCAAAGCGATCCCAAACGGCTCACCACCGAAATCCGCCGAATCCTCCAAGGCCTCCAGCCATGTCGCAGAACTCCGGCGACGAGGTGCAGAGGGGATTCCCGATGCGGAGGATGCTTGGTCAGGGACATGCTAAGCTGCTGAGGCTCTGGCGAAGCTGTTTCCACCGCCACCTTCGGCCGCAGCCGGGCACGGGATCCTCCCGCAGGCGAGGGCAGCCCGACAGGGGCTTCTTCGAAGATCTTGCTCGCGATCGCCTGTGCCGCTGCAGTTGCCGAGCCGCCCCTCCGGGGGACCCCCCGGGAGCCCCTTCTCGCCGCCTGCGCCTTAGTTGGGCCTCTTCGGAGGTGAAGCCGTTCCGCTCTGTCGTTTGGTGCTGAGGCCTGGCGGAGTGCCTCCAGGCCTCAGCCTTGAACTCCTCCGGGCTCGGCTGTGGGCTGCGAGAACTGCTTTGCTGCGAGTGCCGTGTCTCAGGAGCTCGGTTCCCTGGAAGCTGACGCCGGGTCTGACGCCGTCTGAGGCCGCGGAGTGCTCCGAAGGTCTGCACTGCTCGGCCGATGCCCGAGGCCACAGCCTCACGATCACATCGAGAAGCCGGAGAAGTACTCGGTGCCGCGGCCTTGCCATCTTCCTGACACAATCAGTATATACCCGAAGAACAACATCATGCTGACATCAAATATACTGATGATCAGATCATGGGCCACAGACGTGGGTGATGCATTCATCCCCCGAATCCCCTCTTGGTTGGACCCTGCCTTGCCGCCCCCTCGGCCACGACGACAGGCGGAGGACCTTCACGAGGCAAAGCCCCCTTCCGGGACGGAGAGTTCCGAAGCGCGCGATCCCAGTTGGCAGAAAACGTCCAGTGCCGCGCTCCGTGCGACTCCGTGCGACTGTGCTGGTTGCAGGTGTGACGCCAACGTTTTGCGGCCCGTTTCGGCTCAGCGGCCGTTTGCCAGCTCCGCGAGCCTATGCTGGCTGCTTGGCAACGAAAACTCAAAGAAAGAGCTGTGAGATGCGGCTGCTTGAAGTGCGAGAGAGAGTGCGAGAACGTGGCTCTGAGCATCTCTGAGCTGTGAGCAAAGGCGGGCGCGAAGACCGCGCCGTGCACGCCGCGCTGCCGAACTCCCGAAGGCGAGCAGGACACCTCCTTGGCCCGGGGCCGCTCACGAAGCGCCCGAAGCGCCCGAAGCGCCAGCGCGCCCCCTCCTCAGCAGAGGGGCACTCTTGCCGTGCGTGTGCGTGTGCTTGCCCTGCCGCTGCCCTTCGTCTGCAGGCCATGCCGCATTGACAGCGTTCGCCCTCGCCTGGAGGGCTCTAAAGCTGCGGGCGAAGAAGGCGCCGAGGTCCAATGCGACCCCGAGCTTGGAGATGCCCACGGCGGCCCGGAAGGCGGCCTCGGCGAGCCGCAGCCGCTACCGCCTTCAAACCTGGAGTCCAACGCGACTTCCTCGGCCTCGCCGGCTTCGCCGGCTAAAGGCAGCTCAGTCGAGGCCCCGCTTGGACCGATGCCCACGGTGCCTGCGGTGCAAGTGTGCGTGCGTATGCGGCCGCTGCTGGCGTGGGAGCGAGCTGAAGGCTACAAGGAAAGCGCCATGGAAGTGAGGGAGAGCCCCAGTGGGGGCATGGGCATCTGCATGCAAACGGAGGGTCGGCGAAATCGGCACTTTCAGTTCAATTCCGTGATTGGTCCCGAGAGATCTCAGCAGGAGGCCTGGGAGATGTCCAAAATCGACTCGGTTATCTCCAAGGTTTGCAAGGGTTTCAATGCCACGGTCTTCGCCTACGGACAGACGGGCACCGGGAAGACCTTCACTATGGAGGGCTTCGACTACGACACGAGCCAGGCCGCCCCCTCCTCGACTGCCACATCCTCGGCGCGGCCGAGGGTCAAGGCAGCTGCGTGATCCTGTGTACCGTCGCTCTCACACTCCTACCTAGGACTGTAGATGTGTTCCAAACATCAACGCCTAGGCCTAAAGCCCTTCGAAAGTGTTGCGCTCGGTTTCAGCTTCCTTGAGGCTCGTTCCACACCTTCGGAGCAGCTGGGCATGGTGCCCCGAGCGGTGCGAGCGCTGTTCGAGAAGTTACAGACTCGTCGGTCCGAGCCGCCCGACGGAACGAACGGAGCAAACGGAGCTGACAGCTGTGGGGACGAAACTCGCGGCGTCTCCGGTGTCGTTGTCCGCGTGTCGTTTCTGCAGATCTACAAGGAAAAGATCTTCGACTTGCTCAATCCAGTCTCGAGCGTGTCCCAGCGTGAAGCCGCGCGCGCTGGCGAGGTCTTGGCTGAATACCAGGGCAATGCCAGAAACGTTGTGTGTCGTTTCCCAACCACGCAAGTGTTTGCTGTTTGTTTATGTGTTCGTGTTGTTCAGTTGCAGGACTTGGGTGGGCTTCGTATGCGCTGGGATGCAATGAAGCGGCACTTCTTCGTGGAAAACCTGTTCCAATACGAGTGCGGCTCAGCAGACGAGGCTTTGCAGCACTACCAGGACGGTATCGCCAACAAGCAGGTGGCATCGACCACCATGAACGTGGCTTCCTCCAGATCGCACACCCTCCTGGTTTTCACAGTGCTGCGAAGGGAGGGATTGGAATCTGGCCAGGGTCGAGAAGTGGTTTCTCAGCTGTCTTTGGTGGATCTGGCGGGCTCTGAGCGGACCCTGGCCAGCACGGATACGACCCAGAGTCAGAGTGGTGCTCGGTTTGTGGAGGCAGTCAATGTCAATCAATCGCTGTTTGTCTTGCGCCGGGTGATTACTGCTCTAAGCAAACGGGACAGCCAGAATGCGACTGACCATACACATGTGCCTTACCGCGAGTCAAAGCTCACGTCTCTGCTTCAAAACAGCTTGGGTGGCAATAGCTACTTGATCATGTTTGCTTGCCTGGCAGCATCGGAACGACATGATGATGAGAATCTGAGTACCTTGCAGTATGCATCTCAAGCTGCCTGCATCAGAAACGAGCCACAGGTCAATATTGATCCCAAGGACCGGAAAATCCAGGAATTGGAGGCCAAGCTGTCTATCGCTCACGGATACCTCCTCCAAGCTCTTTCTCTGACAGAACTGCCAAGCGACTTGTTGGAGAAGGAAAGAGCAGCCGCAGTTAGCGCCTCTGGTGCCACTGGCAAGTTCAGGCCTTCCAGAAAGGACCGACAGGTTCCGCAGCCTCCGCAGCCTCCGAGGGAGAAGATGGAGAAGACTGCCCCTCTGCCCCCGCGATCGCGCTTCAGCTCGAAGGAGAAGGTCGCATCCCCGACAACCTCGACGGCCACAAGTTGGAGCAAGAGTGAAGAAGGGGAGCGAGGAGATGGCACCGCGGCGGCCACCGCCGCCACGTTGGCAAGAGAAGGCTTGCTTGGATCCCAGCGCTTGGAACCTCGGAAGCATCCAAAAGCCCCCAAGCCCCCGCGCGATGGCCCGAGCTCCCTCGGCGACCGTCTCGGCCTCTCTGCCCGAAATCCGCGTTCTTCGACCTTCTCACGGCTGCTTCAAGGCTTGGCATCGGGGGGACTGGGGACGTCCGCTTAACGTCCGTCGATCTTCCGCAACCAGGTGAAAAGTCGCCGAGAAGCTCCGACTGGCCTTTCTTTGCCCGAAAGCCAAGGACTCCATGCTCATGGCCTTGGGCTCATTTGGGCTCTAGGCGTTGAGGCAGCCATGCGACAGAGAGAGAGGCAAGAAGGACGCTTTCCGGTTTGGAAAGCCAGAGAGCGAGAGATGACGAGAGCAAGTGCTACACTGCTACAACGTACATGAAGCTCTCCGACACAACGGGCCGATTCTATTGTTGGGCCTCGACATGCCCCTTAACGCTGAGTGAAGAAGTCGTCGAGCCTCATGGTGTCCGCGGTAAGAGGCCTCTTGCACAGCTTGCTTAGACGATCTTGATCGAAGATCGGCAAGTCGAGCGACTCTATACTCACATCTGCTCACTGTCAAGTTGGATATGTAGGATATGTCGGATAGGAGTAGCAGGCCGAGATGCATGGAGCAGCGCCCCCACGTCATGAGACTTTGCTGTGATGTCGACATGCTTAAAGGCTACCCCAAGGCCCAAGGCAATGCTCGACTCGGCATTTGTCTTCAGATTAGCTGCAGCCAAGATAGAGCGCACCTAGGTCGAATTTTTCAGTCGGACCCACCCCCCTTATTGGAACAAGCATTTCCTCAAAGCCATGCAACCCCACATCAAGCATCACCATGTGCGCAACGAAACTGCCAAGAATGTCATGCATGGGAATAATTGGCCGTAAGACGGGAAACCCGTTGTGCATAGGACACGAAAACGGCCAGACAGGTTTTTCCAGTGGGGAACTAGAAAATGCAGGCGACGAACCTGTCAAAGACATGAATATGTACCAATCAATCAATCAATCAATCGACCAGGACATGAGTTTCAAAGCAACACGACAGTCGTCAACGTTTTCAGTGGGAAACCATGCAATGCGAAGAAAGCACAGCTTTTGGATAAACAGGAGAATGGCTTCAGCCAGCGCAACACAAGACGAGAGGGTTTGAAAAAGCGGAAGAAAGAGCGAGAGAGACTCGGAGGACCGAAGGTTCGGAGCTTTTCGCGGCGGTGGAGGCGCTGGCACCCGTTTTTTTGGGGGCTGCAGGGCGTGCTGGGCTGCCTTTGCAAACCTGAGGATGTGCTCCGCAGCTACGACGGGGCTTCTGACGCCGAGCCCCGAAACCCTTGGGCGGCAGCGCTGCCTCCAATGGCGAGCCGGCGGAAGGAGAGCGCAGCCAATTCAGCTCGAAGGCCAATGCAGCAGACCGTGCCTGCAAGGGTGTCTCTGTGCGAGCCCTGAGGCCGTCGTCGTTGCCTCCTGTGGTCCCGGAGCTCGAGAACGAAATCGGAGGTGTGCTTGTAATGAATCCACAGGCTCAATGCGTGCGAGCAAGATTGAAATCGCCAGGTGACTCTGCGCCGTTGCCACCTTTGCCCTGCAAGCTGTGGCCAAGAAAGCCTGAGGCACCCCTTGTTGGAGCCTCAACATCGAAGCTCACTTTGCGCACCACCTCTGCCCTGTGCCCTCTTGTAAAGGTCATCTCGGATGCCCCTGCCGCATCTGCTCCTGGGCAGCCGGAGGCCTTAGAGCCAGAGGCAGCTCGGCGGGCCCGGGGCCAACTGAGCACCACTCTGCTGGAGTGTAGCGCCTTGCTGCAGGCTGCAGGGAAGCAAGGAGATGATGCTGGCTTTGATCTACCAGCTCCTCCGGAAGAGGCACGTATGCACGGCGAGTTTTTCTGCGTCCCTTATCCGCTCCAGCTTTCGTAGCCGCCTGCCAAGCTGCTTTGTAGAATGATCGCATTTTGTCATGTGCTGGGAAGGCCGGCAACGCTGGAGTCAACGATGAGGCACAGGATTGCATCAAAGAGAGGGAGGGCACTGCAAAGGTTGGAGAACTCATGTGTTTCAAGTAGTGTTACAAGTAGATGCAACCCAAAGCAACAGAATCTGCAAGCTCATATGGGGTGTGTCTTGAACGGTTCGGTTACCTGTGCGTGGCATTTGTTTTTGGGCTTGCATTTCTCACTCGTGGACCTTGCGAAAAGTCTTGCAAACACTTGTGCCAGACGATCGTGTCCCGAATGGTGCTTGCAATAGTGCGCAGCATGCTGATTTTGGGTTTGGTTGCTCACTGGTGGGCCTTGCAAAGAAAGCCTCGCAACCACGTGCACCACACAACTCCATCGCCGCCAACCCTGTGTAGCATGTTAATTTTGAATTTGATGGACCTGGCGGAAAGTCTTGTGTACGCTTGGTAGCGCATTGGTTGTAAATAAATAGCATTGCACACGGTTGCGTCACAGGTGCCCCTGTTTGTGCTGCCAAACACGCGTGGCATCTTGAGGTTGGGTTGGGTTGCACATGGGTGGGCCTTGGAAGAAGTCTTGCAAACATTTGCGTCACAAGACTGTGTCCTGAATGACCGTGCTCCTCAAGCCTCCAGCTTGGGCGACAGGACCTCTCAATATGCTCTCCAAGGCTGCATATAGGGATCCTTACTGGCGAGTAGCTAGTCTCTTGTCAGTATGCAAGTAGTTGATGCACGGCGCTTCTTGCAGACTCGAACGGTGAATCAGCCAGAGATTTGCGAGCTTGGATTCTCATTCCTTCTTTAAATCATACCAGCGAATAGGATCGGAGATAACAGGAAATCCCCAACCCTTGGAAGGCTAGACTACCCTGCAAGACTGATACAGACTGGTTTCCAGAAGCCGCAGATCCTGTACGGATTTACTGGCTTCCAAGACCAAAGCAGGACCAAAGCCTTAATAAGAGAGGATGTGTTGTGTGGCCAACCCTAGAACGCGAAACCTTGAAAAAAGGCTGGTTGCCAAAAAACTGAGAGGTGGAAACCATGGGTGGCAGACGCTGAACAGTGAACTGTGCGCAGCTGGAGTTGAATCGTCTTCCGCGTTTTCACAGGTAGGTGAAGGAAAGATGCAGCGGCCGGCGCGAGGGTCCAAAGTCGGCGTCACCCAACGCGCCAAGGCGCAAAGCGTCTGAGACACAGACGCGGGAGTAAGTAAACGGGCGCACTGTCTCGATGGATTGGCTGGAAAGCGAATCAACTGTTTACTACGTCGTCGTGTCCGAAAAATCGACATTTGTAGTATGTTGTAAGTGGAGTTGTCTTGGTCGCTTCATTATGACTGATCTTCGTTGCGTGTGCTGGTTTTTGTGCGCAAACCACAAGCGGCTGCCACAAGCGCTTGGAGCGGCCCTTCACTGATTGAAGTTTCCACAGGCGTAATAAAGTGTCCTGTATGGTTACGGCAGCGCGCCCTGTTGAAGGAGCTGTCAACATGCCGACGGGACCTTGCCGCAGCACAGCAGCGGCTACAGGAACCTGAAGCTCAGAATAAGCAGCTTACTCAAACAACACGTACGACGTATGTGATTATTGCTACTACTTTGGTTACTACTGCCTCAGCTACTGCGACTACTGCTGCTACAGCCGTTACTGATACTGCTAGTGCTACTGCTACTACTACTATTACTACTACTAAAACTACTACTACTACTACTGCTGCTACTGCTACTGCTACTGCTACTGCTACTGCTACTGCCACTGCCACTGCTACTGCTACTGCTACTGCTACTGCTACGACTACTACGACGACGACTACTACTACTACCACGACTACTGCTTTACTTCTACTTCTACTTCGCCGGCCTACTGCCTACTGCCGACTGCGTACTACCTCCTACCTCCTACCTGCTACCTGCTACCTGCTACCTACTACCTGCTACCTACTACCTACTACGTACTGCCTGCTACCTTCTTCCTTCGACCTACTACCTAATACCCACACCACCTCGTTACTACCTGCTACCTGCTACCTGCTACCTGCTACCTGCTACCTACTACCTACTACCTACTACCTACTACCTAGTACCTACTACCTACTACCTACTACCTACTACCTACTACTACCACCTACGACCACCTACTACCACCTAGTACCACCTACTACCACCTGCTACCACGTGCTACCACGTGCTACCACCTGATACCACCTACTACCACGTGCCAGCACCTACTACCACCTACTACCACCTGCAAACACGTGCTATCATCTACTACCACCTACTACCATGTGTGACCACCTACCACTACCTACCACTACCTACCACTACCTACCACTACCTACCACTACCTACCACTACCTACCACTACCTACCACTACCTACCACTACCTACCACTACCTACCACTACCTACCACTACCTACCACCTACTACGACGTACCCGCTGCCACCTACTGCCACCTACTACCACCCACTACCACCTACTATTAGCTACTACCACCTACTACCACCTACTACCACGTACTACCACCCACTACCTACTACTACATACTGCACCTACTACCAAAGCCCAAAGCCTTCAAACTGGAGACCAACTTGCAGCAGTGCAAGCCCGAAGGCAGATCCCAAAACCCACACCCAAAGCGCCAAACTTGGGGCCCCAAATCCAAGTGTCAAACCCAGACCCGGACACCAGATACCCAAACTCCGAGCAGCGCAACTGCCCTGAGGAAAGAACCCCAAAACAGGGCAGAAACTTGCAGCACAACCTTTCACAACATCAATCTGTTTCTGCAGAAAACTTGCAGTCGTGTGAAGACGCTCATTTCGCTATTGTATTGCGAACACAACGTAGTCAAAGCATTCACGCAACAGCCTGTAGCATATCGTCCCAAAAGCCCTTGTTGTTCATCAGCCCGTCTAAACAACAACCTTTTTTCTACGAGGTCATTTTCGGCCCGTTGCCCTTTTTGATGTTTCGTGTGTCTCCGGGAGTTTGTGGGCGGTCTTGCCTGCGGTTTCTGAGCCCAAAGCCCAAAAGATCTGAACCTCAACCTTCACCTCCGTCCCCCGTAAAAATGAGAGAAGATATCCAACTTACGTTGGTTTTGCACATTTTCGCACCGCGCTCTCGCCTTCCAGACGCAACCTACGAAACCCCACGCAGGCCGATTAAATTATGCATTTTGCAAAGGGCTAGAATCGGCTAGAACTACTCCTACCACTCCTAGTACAACTCCTACTCCCGCTCCTACTACTACTACTACTACTACTACTACTACTACTACTACTACTACTACTACTATCCCTACTGCTACTCCTACTCCTACTCCTGCTCCTGCTCCTACTCCTGCTCCTGCTCCTGCTCCTGCTCCTACTCCTACTGCTCCTACTCCTACTACTACTCCTACTACTCCTCCGACTACTCCTCCTACTACTCCTCCTACTACTCCTCCTACTACTCCTACTCCTACTCCTACTCCTACTCCTACCACTACCACTACCACTACCACTACTACTACTACTACTACTACTACTACTACTACTGCTACTACTCCTACTACTGCTGCTACTGCTACTGCTACTGCTACTGCTACCGCTACTGCTACTGCTACTGTTACTGGTACTGCTACTGCTACTGCTACTGCTACTGCTACTGCTACTGCTACTGCTACTGCTACTACTACTACTACTACTACTACTACTACTGCTACTACTGCTACTAGTGCTACTACTGCTACAACTACTACTACTAGTGCTATTTCACTACGACTACTACGACCACCACTGGTGCTACTGCCACTACTGCCACTACTACTGCTGCTATTGCGACGACAACTGTTTCAGGGCCGAAGACTCTTCTTTGCTTCGACATGAGAGTCTGGCCTTGCAGGAGCTTGAGCTGGAAGCCAAGCAGGCATGGCAGTCCAGCAAGATCCAGCATTCGGTGGTTGCGTGAAGCTTCGGATAGACTTCCTGGCAACTTCGTAGCTCGGGAGTCATCGAGTTTGTTGTTTCCGAATTACGAAGACTCGCCCGTTTGTAAACGGAGTCTGCGCCCAATATGCACATACACGTGTATGTGTGCGTGTATGTATGTTTGTATATATATATATATGTATATCATGTAAAGATATACATGTATGTGTGCGTGTGTGTGTATATATACATATATATATATATATATGTATACATATAAATAGGAAGGTTACGAAGGTGGAGACCGATGGGATGGTCTTGGACCAATTTCGTTTATGCCTGAAGGTGGGTAAGCTACAAAGAGGGACGGCAGCTGATCCAAAGCCCATGGACAAGTGGTCGCCTTAAGACCTTTTCCCGAGCAGGTCCGCAGATAAGCTAGGAGTTAAAGGCGGTCACGTAGCCCTGTTGGCTGCTTTCACGCTAGGAGGCTTCGGCTGCTTTAATACGTCTTCGCTACGGTTCAGAGATGAGGGTATTGGCACGCCATTCAAAGTTCCGATTTTTTCATTCGGAGCAGAAGCTCCAGTTTGAGGGAACCGAGAAGGTTGACAGAATCATAACTTCCCACGAAATTCATTGAGCATGTTCTTGCGCAGATGCCCACCGAGCTCACGAAGCTTCGTGCAGAGAACACGCAGTTGATGAGCGAGCTCCAGGCAAGGGTCTTCGTCACAGTCAGTAGGGGGTGCGGAACCATTGACAGAGAGCTATGCAATCTTGCCTGGATATGTCGTGTGCTGTCGCAGTATATGCCTCTATGCAAGCTATGCACATGTTTATATATTTCTACATATTCAGAACTTCTTGGGGCGGGACATAGCGAGGATAAAGCCAAGCAAGGAATCTTCGGAGACAGCGAGGCACTGGCAGATACACAGAGAGAGAACTTGTATGCTGTACCCGTATCCTGACCACAATGAGGTCGACAGCAGGAACCGTGCAAAGCAAATCTTGTTAGTCGAGAAGTGTCTGCGCCCAGGTATTCTACAAGGCCATGGAAAGCAAAGAGCCACAGGCGCGCAATCAAAGCAGCCAGTGTCCGGTCCAGCCCTGTCTTCCTCCTAGCAGGATGCGACGAAGCAGCGGCTCGTCCACGCCTTAATCACGGTCCCAAAGTTTGGTTTCCCTCGATGAGCTATTCTGACCGCCCAGGAGAAGTTCCACTCGCAGCTGGTCTTGGAAGCTGCATCGCTTCGGAACGCCCGCAGCTCAGCTTGTGGCAACATGCCAGGAGGAAGGGGGCAAAGACGAACAGGCTTTGAGGACGACGCCAACAGCAAACAAAGCTTGGCATATCTGGCTTTGAGTCAGTTTCGGACATGTGTTGTAGGCTCCCGCCGACATGCAATCTCCAACCCCCAGCAGCCCGGTCATTGCCAGCAGCGTGACAAGCGATCCTGAACAACAGTGTGAGAAGCCCCCCCCCCCCCTGTATGATCACAACCATGATGCCCACCACTCGCAACAGCTTTTTGACTGAGTGCATGAGGGGGTGGCGATGGGCTGGCTTGGGGGATGAAGGAATGGTGAAAGTATGGGTCGTGTGAGGGTGTGGGCAGGTGCGAAGTGGTGGGACAAACGATCAACTATACATTGCTTGCAGTGGCAAGAGACTGCCAGGAATCGGAAGACTCCGGACCGGGACATGTTTGGCATCTGCAGAGGCCACACATATTGGCGGTGATGCTGGTGATGCAGGTGGTTACAATGAAACATCTTGCCACGATCCCGCACTCTTCGCATTCTCCTTCAGAGTCTCGACCCCGCCGGGCAAAACTCTAAATCCAATCTTTCGGAACTCGCCTTGAACTCAGGAGGTGGCTGGCCTGAAACGGAAGCGCTGGGTGATCCAGGCGCGGCTCTCGCCGTCCCCAGAGCTTTGAGCTTCGGAGCTTCGTGTTTGAGAGGCCGTGCTGGCGAATGGTGGGGAGAGCGAGGACCGGGTGATCAAAGAGGAGCTCCAGAAGCTTCGCCAGAAGAAGAGCGAGGAGCAGCCCGAGCAGCTCCCGGAGCAGCCGAGCCTCAAAGGCTGAGCCTCGAAGTTGCGCTCCTTGAAGCGGCGTGGAGAAGGAGACCACCGTGGAGAAGTCCGTCGAAGGCGCCAAAGGCGCTCCGCGTCCGAAGACCGGATGAAGAGCGCTCGCCGCAGTGGCTCGCCGCCACTGTCTGCCTCAGGGGTTCGAACTCGAACGAAAAGGCCCGAGCTACGTGCGAATTTCACGGTTCTGTTGCAACACAAGGAGAGCGCGGTCTCTGCCGGTTTTGCATGATGCCAGACTTGTGGAGTTCTTGCAAACAGCTACTGTAGCTTGTCGACTGAACTGCTTGGATCGCAGTTTTCCCGCAAAAGGTCCGTGAGGGTAGGGCTGATAGTGCCAGGGCTCCAAGCAATGAAGGCAGTCGTGCAGCTTTGCTTGCCGGGATGCGGTGTGGGATTCGTTGCGGCGACTCGAGCAAGAGAGCTGGCCAGTGAGGTGTCGGGCTCTAGGACGCCCTCCACGGTTTCCTCCGAAGGGGGAGGCGCAGAGTCTCCTCGCCTAGATAAGTTGGAGGAGGGAAGAGGAGGGAGTATCGTGCCGGAGGCCACGAAGACCAAGGCCCCTGGCCGCAAGAGCAAGAGACCCTCTCAGAACTCCTTCGCGGACCTTTTGGAGCAGCGCCGACAGGAAGTGCAGAGCAGTCAGCATGAGTGGTGGACTTACAAATTTGCCATTGTGGTGTCCTGGGTGGTTCTGGCCTTGTTTACCATGGCTTCTTTGTTGCTCATTGTTCTGTGGGCACGGCATGAGCACGAGGAATCCTTCGTGGTTACGTTCTTTGTCATGGCAATCGCTGCCATGGCTTATTTGGCGAAGGTCACCGGCCTCGGGGAAGCTGTGATTGGCGGCAGAAAGGTCCCCGTGATCCGCTACATCGACTGGATTGCGACAACTCCGCTGATGCTTTTCGAGTTATGCATGATTGGCGGCGCAGAGAAGCATACCACCATTCTTGTGATCGGCAGTGACCTGATGATGCTAGTTGGGGGCATCGTCAGCGCCATGCTGGTGCCGAAAGAGAAGGTGATGCAGAAATATCTCTGGTTTTCCATCTCTGTCTTTTTCTATATGACGATGATCGCTGCCCTCGAGGTGGATGTTGCCTATGGCACTGTGCTGGACCGGCCTCCGGACGTGCAGCGCCTGTTTTCCCAACTGTCTTGGTTGACGGTCATCTCTTGGACGGGATACCCGATCGTTGTCCTCCTAGGCCAGAACAGCTGGTCTCATGTAAGCAGGGTGATTGAAAAATCGAAGTTCTGGAGACCTTGATAGCCGAATGTGACAGTCACCACCAGCCAGTAATGAAATTCCGGAGCACGAACCAAGTGGAGTAATAGTCTGAAAGGCCCCTAGGAGGTAGCAGACGCATTCTCGGTGCTTGACATGACGAGACGGTACGAACATAGATGGAGTCGCGACTCGAACTACGACTGTGAGCACTTTGCAGTTCTTTCTCGAAAATATGTCGTAATGGCAAACGCCGGAAGCAGCGTCACTGTCGCTGTCCTTGACCATCATGGTAGCCATCACCATCATGGATCATGATTTAGCAGTCGTCTTGTCATGCATAACGAAACACTAGTCGAGACACTCGTATGCAGCAAAATACACCTGCAGACAAACCCGCAGAATGAACACGTAGCCTTTGTAGCGAAACGCCCCCAAATGCCAAGCGAGCATCTATACCATCATAGACGAAGGCGCCCGCTGTTATAATTACACATGTTTGCAGCCGCACCAACATGACCCCCACTGTGGACGCCGTCAGCAGCTATTCGACATAAATATTTTATGGCCTTTTTGTCGTTGTCCAGGCATCGTCACCGCGACAAGAAGGATTGCAGACTCCAAGCCCTAAGCCGTGAACACTTAGTAGCAGTGGCGGCAACGTGGTCAGGCCGGGCTCATGCGGGCCTGATCTCCAAAGGGATGGAAGATGCGCCTTGGGCCCTGCAACCAGCAGCAAATGTGAAGAAATTATGCAATTGCACGACTTGCAATTGTGAGGTCGGTGGAGACACTAACCCTGAAACCAAAAAGCTGGGGAGCCTCGAAGCAGAAACCCCAAGCCACACAGTGTGTCACCACATTGTTCCGATCAGATCGGCCATGTTTGTGAAGCACTTAAATGACTTGGTACGATGATGACAGGGTATAAGTTCAGTCACACGGCAGTCTACATTGCTATACCGCCGAATCCGACTCCGCAACTCCGCATCCTGCTCCATTTCGATGTCAAGTTTTTGAGGTTCGACAACAAGGTTTGAGATGATTATCCCAAAACCTGGACCCAAAAGCGTCCTGAATCCCTACCGGTCTTGTGTGTTTGGGAAGCGTTGTCTGCCCAAGGCTCTCCTGTGCATCCTTGACTGCGTGTCCAAGATCGGCATGGAGTTTTTCGTGCCTGGGACAGATGTACCGGAGTTCGGTTGCGCTCTTGTCTTAAGGGTTGCGGGGTCCCAAATTTCAAGCTCTGTCAGGGTGTTCCCAAAGCTAGGAACAGAAAATGGCTTGGGTTGGAGGGATGTTTGGTTCTGTTTCCATCCTTGGCTGAGGTCGTTTTTACTTGCTCCGCTGCGGGCGCTCAGTGCCATGTCAAGGCTGTGAAACACTAGTCACTTGACGATGGCATGTTAGTCGTGTAGAGAAGCAGAGACCAAAGAGGATCCTGCAGTTTTGCTGCGGGCTGATGGCACCTTCCACGCCTGCAGACCTGCCAAAAGGCTGCATCGTAGCACGGTATATATGCGACGATTTTCTGAAACTGCCGCAAGCATCTTTCAGTGCATCTTTTCGTGCAAAGTGCGGGTTTCGGGTAGTCCGGAATTGAACGGCTCGGGAAGATACTAATATCCACCTAGCAAAATGCACAATTTCCTGAGCCGAACTCTGGTCATGCTCAGTGCACTTGGCACCTGGTTCCATTTATCTCTGCGGCCGGCCAGACCTAGGCCAAGACCCACAGACCCGAAGGCGAGACTCCACGGAAAAAGACTCGGGAAGAGTGATTCCGGTTGCCCCAGCGAGCAAGTTTTACTAGGACCTGGGATCGGCTTTCAAGTTCGGGGTGAGGTGTTGATGCCGTCGAAAACCTGAGCTCTGGTTTCGGGAACTGGACATCCCGACTTAGTAGATAAAGAAAGGACGGCACTCCCTCATTTCCGACTGCATTTTGAGGTGAGCGGGGCTTCAACAACGGGAGGTTGAGATCATCCCCGTGTCTTTCACTTGCGGGACTCGTGGGGTGTGTGGGTGTGCATGTTCGCTCAATCGATCGCAGAGGCTTGCTCGCGCCGGACTATGAGCGTCGTTGCATGCTATATGGTTGGACATGCACAATTGAACAAATTGCAGATGCACTTTGATATGCATGCTGCAGACCGAAGTCATTCTAAGGTTTCTTGGAAAGCAACAACGGTAGCCTGGGCGCTCGATAGAGTTGTTTCGGAGCTATGGAAGCGGTGGCACCGAGCTGGGTGACTTGGTTTCACTTCATTTCGGCCTCGATGGAGACGCAGCAGTCACAGCCAGAATCCGTGTTGAACGCAGCTGTTTGGGTGTGAAAGCACAGAAAGGTTTGCCCTTTTGCCAGCGGGGCACGGCGTCATGGTGGGCAGGCGGTTCTTTGATGCCCTGTTCTGCGATGTCCTGTAAGTCCCTGACTGGGTGGTGTTGACGCGCGGAAGACAGTGGCCACTGCCAGGTCAAGCGAACCGCTGGGTTCGCAACGTGAGCAAGGCTGGACGACATCTGATGCATTTAATCGGGCAATGACGTGCTCTCCACCTGTTGCTTGCCAGGAAAACAACATTGTTATCGCAAAAGGGTCCGAGAGCATGTGTTTTCGCAAGCTAGAGTCGTCAGGATGACTTGTGAGCTTGCCGAATGAAACTTCAAAGTATCTGCTGTAATAAGCGTACTACGCGAGCCGTTGAGGAAGAGTGATGCCTGATTTCGCAACAATCTGCACTTCGACTCTTTGGCCAGAGCTAAAGCTGAAGCCAGCTGAGGGTTGTGATTTCCATATCTAGTCGAATTGTAGGTTCCGTGCCTGCCGTGACTGAAGCAAATGTTCTTGCAAATGTATGTGTGATCTGTACAAGACAAGCGGCTTCAGTGCTTCTCGAATGTGAAACCACCAAGGCCAGCTCAATTTTTCACGCTGTGTTCTATTCTAGTGATTGGTTCGAGCCGGTGCAGAATTGACAGAATCATTCCGCAGTTGCTGCAGGCTGCTGGCACGGGTGTCCTCCAGGGTTGGGCCGTGTGGCAGTCCAAGCTTCTCATATCGTCTTTGAAGGCATCTTGGCAGTGCTTCCACTGTGGTACCAGGTTCTGGACAAAGGTGTCACTGTCAGCGAGCGAGGCAATGCGTAGCAGAGCGGTACTGGTGGAACTCAGTAACCCGCTTGAGTTGGCTTTTCAACCCAAGACGCCGTGAATGGGGGTGCACACAGTATTGAGTGCGTCCTGACAGGCTGATGCTACTCCCCTCCCAAGGCCTGGCCCGACTCGGACTTCCGCGCAGTGCAGGATGTGACAGTTCTCGCAGGTGCGACATGCAACGATGTACGCACAATACACCGCCCAGGGTGCTGGCAGTTTAGTTTTTTGGAGTCGCACACCATCGACAGTCTCACAGTGGCTGAAGCTGCTTTGGTCCAGCCTGAAACTAAAAGGAGAATGGAAAGAAACCTGCCTCAGAAGCAATCCTCAACACTCCCGCATGCAAAGGCTGTTATCTTCATGAAGCGTGAGCAGCGAAGCCCCTGATAGTCTATTTGTGTGTTTGTATGATTGTGTATGTGTGTGCACATATGATACACGATGCGATCGCTGCCGTCATCCGGTACTGACATCCAGGGGTGCACTACGTGTCGAGAGCCACATCAGGTCTACGTCTACGTCATTCATATGGCGCTACAACAAGTATGCTTGTCGCTATTCCCAGAACGTTGCGCAAGCAGCCTGAGCATGAGCTGACCGGCCATGTCGGAGCCATCTGATTGCGGGTCGCTGCGTCTGAACCAGTCTTCAAAAGAAGACAGGACAACCTTCTCGCAGACCAGAGTTGCACAGTCATCGAAGCAGTGAAGTGCAAGCATGAGACAGGACGCGCACTGCCAGCCGCTCACCTTCTGCCGACAAACTACGGCGCAGTTGCTCAAGGCAATCCGCGTCGCAGCAGCGCTCCAGGCCGTTGCGCAGGTCAAGGGATGATCCGAGTACTTCGATATCGTCAAAAAAGAAACACAAAAAGAAGCACAAGAACAAGGATTCGTCGTCAACAGCCTCAACACAGTGGAAGCCTGAGCGTGCAAACACGGCGAGACCGCCAGCGCAGACAAAAGAGGAGAAGGGTGAGTGAGTCCTCAACACAGGAGAAGCCTGCGCGAGGGGAGGCAGCAGCATCAAGTTCCCACACAAGCAGCTCTTCGTCACCAGTGGTCGTCCGCAGCCCCGCCGACCAAGGTCCAGACACCGCTTCCAAGAAGAAGAAGCCAAAGAAGAACAAAAAGAAGAGCAAAGCAGTTGGCTTCGACCTGCCGCAGAACCCAGGTGAGGAAAAGCAAGCCTTGAGGACTTTCATGCAGTGCCGCCCTGAGTTGAGCGGATGTACACTGGGGATGATGCAGGGCTGCTCTACGTCAGTCCATCCCAAATCAACGAGGGTTCCGACATTTTGATGTCTGCTTTTGGATTCGGGCCGATTAGGCCAGCTGCCCCAGTCAAACCGCGAGCCTGGAAGTCAACACTGGTCGCATTTTTTTAGAACCAGCTTTTGGTGCAAGCACCCCCGGAGAATCCCGCGAGGAGTGCCCGCCTCGGTTCAGTCCCGCATAGAATCCCTGCATCGCTGACCGAGTCTTTAACTCAGATTCTCCTTACAGTGCCCGTGAAGTTGCCTGCTTTTTGAGGGTGTCGGAGTGCGTGATTCCCAACAGCACCTGTTGCGTTTCAGCCTCTACGAAAGGGAACCTTTCATTCATAAGCGAACATTTTCCGATTTTTGGCAATGCTGGAAGCAGGAAGGAAGGAGAGAGGGAGAGACAGACAGAGCGAGAGACTGCAAAGTTCCACAATACCATTCACAGTATACAGAGCAACCAAGATCATTCACTTTCCCCACAGTACACAGTCAAGCAGACATTCCTTCGTAACGTCAAGCCGATCAGTCCGCTCTTGAGCTAATGCCATTCGGCATCAAAGCATTCGATAATGCATCATGCTCATTGGGTGCATTCTGGGGGTGGTTACATTTAAGTCGCTTGATCCTGGCTTTAGTCGGGGATCATTCAACAAGGTAAACCATCACACAGCAGCAATCACGAAGCGATCAGGAGACATTCGAAACAATAAACAATCAAAGTTGCGAAGGATCATGGGACTCAGTCGGGACGTTTCAGTCTCTGCCAGACCGCAGAAAACATCCGTTCACTATTTCAAAGCAAACTTCACCTTGCCAAAACATGTGGCAGTCGCATTGGCACTCCTTAGTTCATTCGCCGGCCCAGTGCGATCTCACTTACACTTGACAGTGCCCTTAGTTTGTGCCTTTTGCATGCCGCTGGACAATGAATATCGTGAGAATGCCTGTGAATGATCCAATGTGCATCTCCAGCCCGAAGATGTTCCAATGCCTCGACGAGATCATCCAGCAGGGAATGCGAGCCACTGCACCCGGCAACAACTTGTTGGAATGGCGTGATGGGCCACACGATGGTGCCACTGGTGCAGGCCACTGGCGGAGGACTGCAGATGCATGACTGAGATCTATGAGCATGAGGAGCATGAGGCAGCCATTGCCAGGAATGAGCAGGCCGAAAGGCTCGAATGATCGCAATGCCAAAGTGCACGCGATTGCCCAGACTGCGAATGCCCTCGAGCCCGGCTCGGAGATTGTCCTGCGCAAGAAGTCACGACAGCTGCAGGTCACTTCACACTAGACAAGACAATAGTGTGACATGTCATGCTCAATCCCTCAATATCCCTCAAGGACAGTGCATTTGCTGTGGCTCGCCTAAGCAGTGGGCTTCAGTCCAATGGCGTCCAGAGAAGCAGTGCGCACGGCGCGTGCAATCCCGGGCAGGATGCCCGCGAGGGTGGGGCAGGGCGGGGAGTGCGCCAAGTGGGCGGTGGTCGGGGAGGAGACTGCTGCTGAGCAGCATCATATTCACCGCCGAGGCAACGTGATCACCAGTGTCATGAGCATCATTGGCGGGATCCTTGAACCAATTAGAAACCGCCCCCAGTTGGGTCTTCACGCATTGTAGGCATCAATTGCAGCATATTTGGTCATTAGATCCGCGGGTTCGTTCCACGTGCCATCAATCTTAGCCATCCTCAGTAGACCCATTTGCGCAAGATTTGGACATACAAAAATTTCAACTCAACGTGTTTGGTTTTCTTCCCTTGTCGCCGTTGATGTGCCAGCCGCGCTGTCAGTGTGGGCAATCCCACTGACTTCACCAGCTTTGATTCCAACAGCATTGACCGAACAAACAGCTCCGCTTCACCGGAAGACAGCGCCAGTGTCAGTGTTCCTTTGAGTCCCAGCAGCGCCCAAGGACATCCACGGTGGATCCGCTGGGGCTGCTGCGCGTGCACGCACATCTAGCCCATAGAGGCCACATAGACATGCACAGTCATTCACATCTATGGCGCAACTTCCTTCCGCATGCTGATGCGACGGACGCAGTCTCAGCACACACAGACCCGTGCCAACCAAACAGGGCAAGAGGTGTTTGTGCTTGGCGACGTGCCGCAACAGCAGACAGCAGCGCAGGCAGCACCAGCAAGTGCTCACAGCAACGCAGCGACAACACTTGAGGAGATAGGAGCATCTCTGGAGAAAGCAGTGAAGGAACGAAAGCCTGGAGAAGTGGAACTACACAAGCGAATCAAAGCCCCCGAAACATTCAGCCCAGGAGCTCGGCAAGAAGAGAAGAGTGGCTGGACAGAGTTCCGTGCCAGGATCAGGATCTGGCTTGGAGCGATTGACAACCACATGGTCAGGATCCTGAGAAGGAGGAGCTGCCGTTTTCGCCGCCGACGCTGCTCACGCATGGAGTCAGGCCCAATACGTCTCCAAATGAGGAGACTGAGAAGAAGCATCTGTGTGATGCTAAGGTTGATGAGCGCTCGTCACACCGCTCCACGGCTGAGGACGTGATGGGAAGCGAGGCAGAGCAGCAGGCGGACGCGGACGGCTACGAGAAGAAGCTGCTGGTCCGCTACATCCTCAGCGGCAGCTACTTTGACGCCTCCAAGCGACTTTTGCCAACCGAGATGTTCCAGGAGATGCACAAGGACAGGAGGATGAAGTGGGGTTCCAGAATCATGATAGAAAAAAGTTGTGCTGGTAAGAGCTACTTAGGCCCCAAACTTAGGCGCACACCCGAATGCAGCTCGACGAGAGCAGAGAAATCTTCCAGGAGAAATCTCTGGAACCCGGATGTGTGAAGCTTGGGCTACTGGTCCCTGTAACTCCGTGCAAGTACTAGCATTACTAGCGCACCAATGCTACAGCGCATCTGCAGGGACCCGACAGCTTGGGCAGAGCTGTCACTTGTGCAAACGTTTCCCTCGTCACTTGTGCAAACGTTTGCCTCGTCAAATGTGCGCGCGAATGTGTCTAAAGTGTCGGCAGGGCCACAGTTTGCGCGTTTCGGGGTCGGAGGATTCACGTCTGTTTGAAAGCCCGAAAAGTGCATGAAACGTCGGCAGGGCCGTGGTTTGTGCGTTTTGGCTTTCGTACTCAAAAATGACTTTTTTAATGACGGAACTTCGAAAGAATCGGCAGGGCCACAGTTTTCGGCTTCTCCGGGATTGCAGGTGTGCTTGTGTTTTGAAGCTGCAAAAGATCTGGTAGTAAGTGATTGCTGTGTCCAAAAGTCATGGAAACGCCGACAGGGCCGTTGTTTTCTGCTCTTGCCAACGTCGCATTGGGACATTGTGGCGAAGGGTAAAGTTTAGTTCATCGACCAGGCAAAGCAGAGATAGCATCGTGTTTTTCCCCTGGAACTTGACAAAACAAGCCAGTGTTGTGCAGCGTTCTGTTGCAGAAAACCTTGCGAAACGCGCTTTTCGAGGCTGCAAAAGCACGTTTCCAATGGTTTTCCAGAACAGAACCCTAACAGAACGGGCCGTCTGCTGGAGCTTTCTCTGACGCGGGCAGCACGACCAAGTCCATTGGAGCGATCTTCTTTTGCAGGGTTTAGCAGGACCACTGTTCTGGAAAACCATCGAAAACGTGCTTTTCGAGGTTGCAAAAGCACGTTTCCAATGGTTTTCCAGAACAGAACCCTAACAGAACGGGCCGTCTGCTGGAGCTTTCTTTTTCGCGGGCAGCACCACCAAGTCCATTGGAGCGATCTTCTTTTGCAGGGTTTAGCGGAACCATTGTTCTGGAAAACCAACCAAAACGTGCTTTTCGAGGCCGCAAAAGCACGTTTCCAATGGTTTTCCAGAACAGAACCCTAACAGAACGGGCGCGGGACCGTGCGCGGAAGGACGAGAACATCGTTATTTGCTGCGAGCAGCAAGACCACGTCTGCCGGAGCTTTCTTTGACGCGGGCAGCCCAAGTCCATTGGAGTGATCTTCTTTTGCAGGGTTTAGCAGGACCACTGTTCTGGAAAATCATCGAAAACGTGCTTTTCGAGGCTGCAACAGCATTCTTCCAATGGTTTTCCAGAACAGAGCCCAAACAGAACGGCTGGTGGGACCGTTAGCGGGAATGATAAGAACATGCTTGCTTGATGCGGTTTTTGGGGGAGGCCTCGGCTACTTGCCAGGTCAAGTCGAGTTTCTGCAGACAGGATTAAGATTGGGAGAAGCACCACCAAGTCCATTGGAGCGATCTTCTTTTGCAGGGTTTAGCAGGACCACTGTTCTGGAAAACCATCCAAAACGTGCTTTTCGAGGCCGCAAAAGTACGTTTCCAATGGTTTTCTAGAACAGAACCCTAACAGAACGGGCGCGGGACCGTGCGCGGGAGGACGAGAACATCGTTATTTGCTGCGAGCAGCAAGACCACGTCTGCCGGAGCTTTCTTTGACGCGGGCAGCCCAAGTCCATTGGAGTGATCTTCTTTTGCAGGGTTTAGCAGGACCACTGTTCTGGAAAATCATCGAAAACGTGCTTTTCGAGGCTGCAACAGCATTTTTGCCGATGGTTTTCCAGAACAGAGCCCAAACAGAACGGTTGGTGGGACCGTTAGCGGGAATGATAAGGACATGGCCGGATGAGGGAGTCGGGCATCCAGGCGGCGGAGGCCATCGTTGCGGGAGGCGGGGCGGTCGCGGCGGCGGCGGTGCGGAGCGTCTCTGCTGAACGTCCTCAAAGCGGCGGCGACTGGCTGGACAGAACCCTAAAAATCCCCAGGAGGCCGCCCGGCCTGGCCCCTCCGCCCGACGAGGTGCCCCCGCCCCAAATCATCGGGAGGCCCAGCGAGGTGGAGCCCCTCGTGGAGAGAGCCGGGCAAAGGGCGGCGGAGGTGGAGCGCGCGGCCGCCCAGGGCATCGAAGCTTTCGCTTCCCAGCAGCTGGCAGAGGCGGAGGCTTCAGAAGGCTTCGCCACGGCGGCGGAGGCAGCAGCAGGTGCGGCGGAGGCGGCGACGGCGACGGAGGCGGGCACCGGAGCCCTGGCCCTGCTTGGCGAGGGAGCCCTCGCGGCAGCGGGGACGGTGGGCGCAGCCAGCGGGAGAATAGTGGAAGCCCGTTCCGTGCGTTGACAAGGGAAGTAGAGTTGACACTGGTAAAAGGTTTTACACTTTCACTCCCGCACCTCTCTTCTTAGCCTCCTCCCAAGCCCCCCACCCGAAACCCATGCCTCCCACCAGTTCTGTTGGGGTTCTGTTCTGGAAAAGCATTGAAAACGTGCTTTTGCAGCCTCGAAAAGCACGTTTTCGAGGGTTTTCCAGAACAGTGGTCTTGCTAAAGCATGCAAAAGAAGCTGGCTCCAAATAAATGGAGGTGGTCCAGCTGCCCGCGTCAAAGAAGGATATTATCATCCGCCCCTCCACCCACCCACCAGCCCTCCCAGCCCTCCCCACCCATCCCTCCCGCACCTCTCTTCTTAGCCTCCCCCAAGCCCCCCACCCGAAACCCATACCTCCCACCAGTTCTGTTGGGGTTCTGTTCTGGAAAAGCATTGAAAACGTGCTTTTGCAGCCTCGAAAAGCACGTTTTCGAGGGTTTTCCAGAACAGTGGTCCTGCTAAAGCATGCAAAAGAAGCTGGCTCCAAATGGAGGTGGTCGAGCTGCCCGCGTCAAAGAAGGATATTATCATCCTCCCCCCCCCCACCCCCCCCAGCCGCCCCACCCATCCCTCCCGGACCTCTCGTTCTAGGGTTCAAAGCTGGCTCCGATGTTCTTGAAAGCCGGTGTTTTGCACAATACCGGAAAACTATCCAAATCGTGCTTTTCGAGACCAGAAAAGCACGATTTCGATAGTTTTCCGGTGTTGTGCAAAACGGTCCAAATCGTGCTAGAGCACTTTCCTTCGATATTTACAATGCTTTCGACCACCGTCTTTGCGCAAGTGACGAGGGAAATGTTTGCGCAAGTGACGAAAAAATTGTTTGCGCAAGTGACGGTGCAGCCCGAGGACAGCTTGCATCGGTTTGCAAGATAGACTTGTTGAACATGCCCCCTTCCAGTCAGTTGGGTGCTTGTGCAAAACCAGCCACAAGTCACCAGTGATATGCGTCCGATCCTCACCTAGGACTTAAAGCCCTTCACTAGGCAAGCCAAGAAGCCGTAAAACGACATCCGGAACCCACATGTTGCATCATGTATCCCTGGCTATGCTTACAGAGCCCAGCTTCACATGATTCCCACGAGCAATGAGAGGAGGAGTACTCCGGAATCTCTGCCGATGATGAGGCCAGCGGCGCCAAAAAAGAGGCTGAGCACAATGACGTGATTGCCAGTGGGGCAAAGGCAGATGAGGCCATGTGCATGTGCCTGGCTTTCGTGCAGGACTCAGGCTCGGCGGAGCAAGACGAACATCCCCTCGGAGGCGAAGGAGCTGAAGAAGACGAGTACTCGAACGAGCGTTCGTCACACCGCTCCATGGCTGAGTATCACAATGACGTGATGGGAAGCGAGGCACAGGCAGATGAGGCCAAGCCCAGGTTCGTTGTCCAAACGATCTTGTTTACTGCTATGCGCGGAGCAGCTCAGGTGATGGCCGAGTCTCGCAGGAACGCGGCAAAGCCGAGGCAGCCGAGAACGAGAAGAAACTGCTGGTCCGCCACATCCTCCGCGGCAGCTACTGTGACGCCTCCAAACGACTCTTGCGAACCGAGATGTTACAGGAGATGCACAAGGACGGGAGGAGGAAGTTGGGTTACAGAATCATGATAGAAAAAGTTGTGCTGGTAAGAGCTACTTAGGCCCCAAACTTAGGCACACACCCGAATGCAGCTCTCCGGGCGACAGCACGAAATCTCCCAGGAGCAATGTCTGGAACCCGGATGTGTGAAGCTTGGGCTACTGGTCCCTGTAACTCCGTGCAAGTACTAGCGCACCAATGCTACAGCGCATCCGCAGGGACGCAAGCTTGCATTTGTTTGCAAGATAGACTTGTTGAACATGCCCCCTTCCAGTGAGTTGGGTGCTTGTGCAAAACCAGCCACAAGTCACCAGTGATATACCCCAGTGCAACGAAAGGCTTTCACTCCAAGCTTTACGCCGAAGCGTCCGATCCTCACCTAGGACTTAGAGCCCTTCACTAGACAAGCCAAGATGCCGTAAAACGACATCCGGAAGCCACACGTTGCATCATGTATCCCTGGCCCTGGCTATGCTTCCAGAGCCCAGCCTTACATGATTCCCACGAGCAATGAGAGGAGGAGTACTCCGGAATCTCTGCCGATGATGAGGCCAGCCGCGCCAAAACAGAGGCTGAGTGCCATGATCTGATTGCCAGCGCGGCAGAGGCAGATGAGGCCAGCGGCGCGGATGAAGAGGCCGAGAAGTGCAGGACTCAGGCTCGGCGGAGCAACCTCGGAGGCGAAGGAGCTGAAGAAGACGGTTCGTCACACCGCTCCACGGCTGAGTATCACAATGAAGTGATGGGAAGCGAGGCAGAGGCAGATGAGGCCAAGCACAGGTTCGTTGTCCGACCCATCTTGTTTACCGCTAT